GAAAGAGGAGGAAGAGTTCATAGCAGCACTCTCCACAATAGCTAAAACATGGAAAGAGCCTAAGTGTCCATCATCGGACGAATGGATCAAGAAGATGTGGTTTATCTATACCATGGAATACTACATGGCAATGAGAAACAATGAAATCTGGCCATGTGTAGCAACACGGATGGACCTTGAGGGTGTTATGCTGAGTGAAATAAGTCAGGCAGAGAAGGACAAATATCATATGTTTGCACGTATAGGAGGATTAGGAGGAACTTAACTGAGGAACAAGGGGGAGAAGAAGGGGGGGAAATGGTGGGGGAAAGGGAGAGAGGCAAACCATGAGAGACTCTTGAATGCTGACAAAAACTGAGGACTGATGGATGTGGGGGGGAGGGGTGATGGGTATGGAGGAGGACACTTGTGGCGATGAGCACTGGGTGTTATGTGGAAACTAATTTGACAATAAACTATTTGTAAAAAAAAAAAAAAAAAAAGAGGAAGAAAGAGTAACTTTACAGTGGAGAAACTTGACCAACACAACCTCAGCCAGGTGATCAAGCCTGTCACCCACAGTGAGAAGTCATGCTGAGAGCATGGCCCCATGACATGAAGTGATGAAATGGCACTTAACCTCTGTGGTAGTCCTTCCCCAAACCCATAACCCAGTCTAATCAAAAGAAAAGCATCAAAATACCTGACCAGCACTCCTTTAAATCATCAATGTCATCAAAAAAAAGGGAGTGTCTAAGAAACTTGGCAAGTCCAAAGGAACCTAAGAGGTGACAACTAAAAGTAATATAGTATCCTGGATGGGATCCTAGAACAGTAAAAGGATATTAGGGAAACACTAAGGAAATGTGAATAAAGGGTAGACTTTAGTTAATAATGTATCAATACTGGGTTTATTAATTGTAACAAATGTACCATACTAATGTAGGATGTTAATAATAAAGAAGCTGCAGCACGGAGGCGGGCGGGGGGGGGGTTCAGTCGGTTAAGTGTCGGACTTTGGCTCAGGTCATGATCTCATGGTTCGTGGGTTTCAGCCCTGAGTCAGGCTCTGTGCTGACAGCTCAGAGCCTGGAACCTGCTTTGGATTCTGTGTCTCCCTCTCTGCCCCTCCCCCGTTCTCACTCTCTCTCAAAAATAAACATTAAAATTTTTTTAAATAAAAAAATAATAGAGAAGCTGGATGTGGCATATATGGAAACTCTCCGTATTACTCTTGTAATTTTTCTAAAACTGTCGTAAAATACAAAGTTCATGGGGTACCTGGCAGGCTCATAGAGCATGCAACTCTTGATCTCAGGGTCATGAGTTCAAGCTCCTCACTGGGCGTAGAGCTTACTTAAAACTTAGGGCACTTGGGTGGTTCAGTCAGTTAAGCGGCTGACTTCGGCTCAGGTCACGATCTCACAGTTCATGGATTCGAGCCCCGCATCCAGCTCTGTGCTGACAGCTCAGAGACTGGAGCCTGCTTCAGATTCTGTGTCTCCTTCTTTCTCTGCCCCTTCCCCACTCATGCTCTGTCTCTCTCTCTCTCAAAAAATGAACAAACATTAAAATTTTTTTTTAATTAAAAAAAAAAAACAACCCACAAAGTTCATTTAAAAAGAGAAAGAAAGTGGGGCGCCTGAATGGCTCAGTCGGTTAAGCGTCCGACTTCGGCTCAGGTCATGATCTCACAGTTTGTGGGTTCAAGCCCCACGTTGGGCTCTGTGCTGACAGGGAGCTCAGAGCCTGGAGCCTGTTTCGGATTCTGTGTCTCCCTCTCTCTCTGACCCTACCCTGCTCATGCTCTCTCTCTCGGAAATAAATAAAACATTAAAAAAAATTTTTTTTTTAAAGATAAAGAAAGTAACATAACAGATTAAATGCATGGATCCTGGAATGTTTCCTGGCTTACACAAACCAACAGGAAAATGCCCTTTTGGGAACTATTAGAAAAATTTGTTGGGGCACCTGGGTGGCTCAGTCGGTTGGGTGACTGACTTCGGCTGAGGTCATGATCTCGTGATTCACAGGTTCAGGCCCTGCGACGGGCCCCACATTGGGATCTGTGCTGACAGCTTGCTCAGAGCCTGGAGCCTGCTTCAGATTCTTTGTCTCCTCCTCTCTCTGCCCCTACCCCGTTCGTGCTCTGTCTCTCAATCATAAATAAATGTAAAAATATTTTTAAATTAAAAAAAAGAGAAAAATTTGCATAAGTAGGTATTAGGTGATAATGGAATTATTATAAAAGGTTTTTTTCTTGGGGTGCCTGGGTGGCTCAGTTGGTTAACCATCCGGGATTCTTGATTTCAGCTCAGGTCACGATTTCACGATTCATGAGACTGAGTCCCATATGGGGCTCTGCACTGACAGTTCGGAGCCTTCTTGGTATTCTCTCTTCCCTCTCTCTCTCTCTCTCTCTGCCCCTCCCCAACTGGCATGTGTGTAGGCATTCTCTATCTTTTAAAATAAATAAACTTCATGGGGCGCCTGGGTGGCTTAGTCGGTTAAGCGTCCGACTTTCGCTTAGGTCATGATCTCGCGGTTCGTGGGTTCGAGCCCCACATCGGGCTCTGTGCTGACTGCCAGCTCGGAGCCTGAAGCCTGTTTCAGTCTGTGACTCCCTCTCTCTCTGACCCTCCCCTGTTCACGCTGTCTCTCTCTCTCTTAGAAATAAATAAAACAAAATAAAATAAAATAAAATAAATAAAATAAATAAACTTCAAAAATGAACTCTTGGGACCTCATCAAAATAAAAAGCTTCTGCACAGTGAAGGAAACAATCAGCAAAACTAAAAGGCAACTGACAGAATGGAAGAAGATATTTGCAAACTACTTATCAGATAAAGGGTTAGTATCCAAAATTTATAAAGAACTTATCACACTCAACACCCAAAAAACATATAATCCAGCGAAGAAATGGGCTAAAGACATGAACAGACACTTCTCCAAAGAAGACATCCAGATGACCAACTGACACATGAAACGATGCTCAATGTCACTCATCATCAGGGAAATACAAATCAAAACCACAATGAGATACCACCTCACACCTGTCAGAATGGCTAACATTAACAACTCAGGCAACAGCAATTGTTGGCAAGGATGCAGAGAAAGAGGATCTCTTTGGCACTGCTGGTGGAATGCAAACTGGTGCAGCTACTATGGAAAACAGTACGGAGGTTCCTCAAAAAATTAAAAATAGAACTTCCCTACGACCCAGCAATTGCACTACTAGGTATTTATCCAAGGCACACAGGTGTGCTGTTTCAAAGGGACACATACACCCCAATGTTTATAGCAGCACTATCAACAGCCGAACTACAGAAAGAGCCCAAATGTCCGTCAATGGATGAATGGATAAAGAAGATGTGGTATACACACACACACACACACACACACACACACACGAGTATTACCCAGCCATCAAAAAGAATGAAATGCTGCCATGTGCAACTACATGGATGGAACTAGAGGGTATTATGCTAAGCGAAATTAGTCAGTCAGAAAAAGACAAATATCATACGACTTCACTCATATGAGGACTTTAAGATACAAAACAGAAAAACATAAGGGAAGGGAAGCAAAAATATAAAAACAGGGAGGGGGACAAACATAAGAGACTCTTAAATATGAAGAACAAACAGAGGGTTACTGGAGGGACTGTGGGAGGGGGAATGGGCTAAAAGGATAAGGGGCATTAAGGAATCTACTCCTGAAATCATTGTTGCACTACATGCTAACTAGCTTGAATGTAAATTAAAAAATAAATTTTCGGGGTGGCTTAGTCGGTTAAGCGTCTGACTTTCGCTTAGGTCATGATCTCGTGGTTGGTGGGTTCGAGCCCCACGTCGGGCTCTGTGCTGACTGCCAGCTCAGAGCCTGGAGCCTGTTTCAGAGTCTGTGACTCCCTCTCTCTCTGACCCTCCCCTGTTCACGCTGTCTCTCTCTCTCTCTCTCTCCTAGAAATAAATAAAACATTAAAAAAAGAAAAAAAGAAAAAAAATAAATTTTAAAAAAATAATAAAAAGTAAACACACACAAATTTTAATTAAATAAATAAACCTAATAAATAAATAAATGTTTCTTTCTCTTTGTAAATAAGATTTCTTTCGCTGACCCTGCTGGGCCTCTTCCTAGAATGCCTTCCCATGATGGCAGAAATGAAGTAGCTCCCACCTCTGCTGTCCATCATCAATCATCCCATTCACTTCTTTCAGAACCTCAGCTTTTTTGTTAGTTTGCTCACCATCTGTCTGCCCCTACTACAGTGTAAGTTCCTTGAGGACAAAGACCTTTCCCCCAACTTGTTCACCATCCCTCCAGCATTTAGAACAGTATCTTCCTGGGGTCCCCGGGGTGGCTCAGGCAGTTAAGCGTCTGACTCTTGATTTCAGCTCAGGTCATGATCTCATGGTTCATGGTTCCCGAGATGGAGCCCCATGTCTGGCTCTGCACTGACAGCGCAGAACCTGCTTGGGATTCTCTCTTCCCCTGTCTCTCTGTCCTGCCCCTTCTCTCTCTCTCTCTCAAAATAAACTTTAAAAAAAGAAAAAGAAACAAAAAAAAGAACAGTAACTTGTTCACACAGTACATGCCCAATAAGTATCTGTCCACTGAATAATTCAATAGGTCTTAGACCATAACAACTACAGAAGCCATAACCATTCCAAATCACTTCTAAATTTACACCTTAAAATAGAGACTTTTAAAAACGGCATTCTATAAACGTTTTCCCTTCAAGTGGCTTCAATCTATTCCCTCGTTTATTATCTCATCCCTAAGTAGGAGGAAAAGAGCGCATGCAGAGGGAAGTCCTGGGCATTCGTTCCAGACCTGACCCAAGCCAGCTGTGATCCGGGACAATGACTGAACTGAGGAGGTGACACAGACATCGCTGGTACAGACAACGACAAGCCCTGCCTTCTTACCAGAGGGACTGCCTAAAAGATTCCTTTCCCAGTGACTCACTTATCTTACCAAGTCAAATCAAGCATCTGGGAGAACTGCCCCATCCTTACCGATAGCAAACTCCACCAGGGTTTCATTCTCCTCCGACAGCGAATCGAGGAATAAATCGAGGACCTGCAGCTGCCGCAGATACTGGTAGTTATTGGGGTCATAGGCGAAGTTGGCGAGGTTGGCCAGTACTTGCTCCTTGGCGTCTGCGGTGGAAAAGCGGCATTGGGGCCAGTTCCGGAACGGCTGTGGCGGCCGGACCCCTGCCCCGTCCCCTGCCCCCCACCCTGCCGTTCTCACCTTGGCTCTCCGTCTCTTGGAACTCCGTGACCAGTGCCTGCAGGTATCCCAGGCGCCCGACGTGGGGGTCTACCTTCGGCTTCTGGGCCATGGTCAGGGGGGCCGAGGGGGCCCGGGGAAGGGCGGGAGAGTGAGGGGGTGACGGAGGAGATAGGTTCCTTTCCTGGCCTCAGGTTCTGAGGAAGTCGGAATGTGGGGATGAGGTGGGACCTCAGGACCTCATACAAATTAGGCTTGGAAACCTAAATTTGGATGCCGGAGACGAGGAGGAAGGAAGAGTACCACCCCGGCCTCAGCTTCAGAACTTGGTTTTCCGTTCGGTTCCAGGTTTCCGGCGGAAGCCGCACTTAGTCCCGCCCCAGAGGGCGGAAGGGGCGGGCCTAGGCAAACAAGGGGCTGGGTCGTCCTGCGCTCGGCGCGCGTGCGCGACGCGTTTTGTGCTTTAAGTGCCTGGCTGGAGGTTTCCGTGTCCGGAGCGGTGGTGAAGGCTGAGGCTGCATCGAGGAATGCCTCCAAGGCGCTTGGGAACCCAGAGGAGTCGGAGGGCGCCCATGTGGAGGGAATGTCGAAGCATCAGAACCTCCAGACCCCCTTTGCACTTGAGGAGGGGGCGCAGGCCAACCTCCTCGACCAAGAGACGACTCTGGAATGCGGGCTTCAGTTCCTTGCACCCCAACGTGCGTCTTTTGACACTACCTTCTGGTCGACCTTTCCAAAAAGCCGGGGAGCCTGGCACCGTCGGCCCCCCCAATCCTGAGCTGACCACCTCTGGCTAGAAACTTAAGAGGACTAATGTCCTGAGACGTTTTGCCCGCCTGGTGGACAAGGAACGCTAGGGGCATCCACGAGCCCCAGGACCTCAGTTCACCCAAACGTACCACTTTGACAGCTTTCTGAGTTGTGGAGTCCTGGATGATGAAGGCTTCGACTCAGTTCTTTCTCCGGGCTTCTCAGGAAGGTGGTGTGTGACCTGGACTTTGTAGGCCCAGTAGACAGAGCACCAGGCAGGGAAGTGGCCTCGCTGCACTTTCATTGTGCTTGAAACTGGTGGGGGTAAGGCGGGTTTGGTCTGTGAGCTTCTTGAAGCTAAGGACCATTTGTCTTTGGTCTTGGGCCTGGCATGAGGGCAAGGTGGCTGCCGCACTCTAGCCTCTCACAGCCCCATTTGACAGCAGGCCCCATCTCCATGGTCCCTGAAGTCAGCCCCTGCCCTATGCACACCACTTGGGACAGGAGTTATGACTAGAATCTGGGTGCTTGGGTACCCTGGCGGCTCCATTTAGGACAGTGGCCCCAGACCCCTCATCAAGCCCCTCAACTGCTGTAGGGAGCTGATACAACCTGGGGAAGTACATCTCATCCCAAGGTGGCCAGGGACTTCTCTGTGTCTGGCTGGACAGAGCAGCAAAGTCCTGGGCACTAGGGGCACAGAGCTTAGGAACAGGATGTAAGTGAGCTCTACCCTGCACTGGTCAGGAACTACTCCAGACCTTCTCTAGAGGATTCCCAGGAAAGCAGCTAAGTGTGGATTCTGGAATCAGATGGGCCACCTCCTTCATTTCTCTCTCCCTCATTTGTCCCCTCTGAAAGGCTCAGGGGCTTTCCTCATTGGGGTACAATCCTGTCCTTGGTTTTGTGCCGAGGGCAGCACCAGGTCTCACCCTTCTCTACCTAGTCCCTGGCACAGAGTAAGTGCCCAATATTTGTTGAAGGCATTCTGCCCAGAGATTATTGCCTCTCTTGGCTGGGGGCGGATGAGGTCGAATTTCCCTATGCTGAATGTTCACTGATATCTTTTTTCCTTAAAAGAAATCTGTTTCCAGGAAGTGGGCCTGACAGGGGTTGCATACTTCAAAGCCTGGTGGCTCCTGGCACCAAAAGCATCCACCTACCCACCAGTCGCAACACTCTTCTTTTCCACTCAGTGACGATGTGGGAGACAGGACCTGGTAAAATGTGTCCAAGCACTCCCTCTTCGGTTCACAGGCAGTGGATGGTGGCCAAGCACAGGACTGAGTGAGGAGCAGAAAGGCAAAGGGGGTCTTCAGGATCAGACTTTTCAAACAAGAAGAGATTCTGATTCATCCAGTTCATTCAGGCCAACCTCCTCCTTTTTTAAGGTCCAGTGATGCTGAACAATTGCCCAGAATTACACAGCAGATTGTGACAGAGCCAAACATGAACTTGGGTCTCTATCTCAGCCCAGAGCCCTTTGCTTCATCTCTGCACTACGTCCTTTGACCATAAGGGGGCACTCATGGCAGGGCCCTGGAGAAGACCGTACATCCCCAAGGATGCTTACTCATGCCAGCTGGGCAGAAGGAAGGCTGAAGTCAGGTCACGAAAATAAAATTTATTTTCCTGATAAGGCTTTCTTGTTGGAGCCTGGTTGAGCCTGAATCAACAAACAAGGACTTGGGTCAGAGAGGACCCCTGCTGAGCAGGGAGAACTGAAGAGGTAGGGGAGGGATTTACTCCCGGCCTGCTTTCCAGCTTCAATAGTTCACTGGGTTTATAACCTGCTGCAGGAACGTTTTTTGTGTGTGATTCAAACAAACTCTGTTTTTCCATTGCCTCAGTTGGCACCCTGCTGGGACAAGTTTGGGCTGATGACAGCTAGCCCCCAAGTGATGCCCTCAGGAACCGGTACCAGCAAAAAAGAGTATGTGTGTGGGGAGCACTGACCTCTGTGCAACAGGCACAGGCCAACAGGCAGCAGGGTGGACGCCTCTGACACTATACGGAGAGCAGGACAGGAGGGAGGAGTAGAAAGGGCTTCTGTTGGAAAAGCAGCCTCATCTTTACAGAGGTCCTTGGGTCCTGCCTGGCAATCCTTCCCCTCCCCTGCTCAGCCACATGTCAGGCTTCCCCCCCCCCCCAGCACTAATCTTCATGGCCAAGATTGGGGGGTGGGGCGGAAGGGAGGGCAAGGAAGGGAAGAGACCCTAGAGCAGGCCCTGCTCAGTGTGGAGGGAACCCCTCACACTTCACTGATTCTAGGACTCAAGCCAAGGAAGGGCTTCCCTCCAGTTCTTTGCTCAGACACCAGGCTGGCTCTTCCACCCAACGTTTCATCTGTCCGAAGCCTGCGTCCAGGCCAACCTCTCAGCCTGGCTCTCCGCCGCCAGCCATAACTCTTCACACGTGAGGTTCTTCTTCCCAAGGTTCCAGTAAGCATGAGGCCCGGTACCCTGTGCTGTGGGCAGCCCTAAGGTAAAGGCTGGGGCACCTGAGAAGAAATGGGGCAGGAGGGCCTCGGAGGTGGGGGGGGGCTCTTTGGAACTGTCTGGAGGCTGGAGAAGGACAAAGAGGTCATGTCAGAGACATCCAGGCTAGACTGGAGGGCCTAGTGTGCTGAGCTGCAGCAGCAGGACTGGGCAGCCAGCTGAGCCAAGGACGGTTTGGACTCACTCTGGTGCCCAAGGGGAAGGGTCAGGAGGACCCGCTCCTGGATTCTGCTGGATAGAAGGCACCCTGAGTCTGGAGGCCCGCCTTCAAGGTCCCAGCTCCTGGCTGAGTCCCAATGTGCAGAGCCTGGATGGCTTTTGGTTCAAGCTTCCCGGTCAGCCCTTCACCCCAGCCTCTGGCAGCTGGATACCACATCCCTGGGCTGAGGCAGTGGTCACTCACTGACCTCAGGGCTCAGCCACTGGTCACACACACGATCCCAGGGCTCAGACGCTGGTCACATATGTGATCTCGGTGTACACCTGCTTCTCGGAACCACGTGAGTCCTCCACCATGAAGCCTCGCTCCGAGGCAACCTCTAGGATGGCTCCTTCGGCCTCGGCTGGCCTGCCTTGCCTCTCCTTCTTCTGCAGGACACAGAAGCTGCCACCCATGAAGAGGGCAGCTGATATGAGGAAGAAGCTTGACATGTAGAAGACGTAGCTAAAGTTGTTGGTGGTGTCCAGGAGGAACCCTGGGGGACAGAGAATAAGTTAGGCCACAGTCCCGGGGATACTAGGCCTCCTTCCCACTAACTTGTGTGCTCTGTGAGAGCAGGGATTTTATCGGCCACCTGCTGTATCCCCAGGACCAGCTATTGTGGCTGGCATCTAGAAGGCACTCAATAGAGATCTGTTGAATGAAAGGAGAGGAAACAGTAAACCTGCTCTCCCAGGGGCAGGAAGAGCCTTTGGGCCAGAAAAGCACCTAAGGGCATGTCTCCCTTACCCTTGGTAGCAGGAAGCAAGCAGTCTGGGCTATCTGCCCAGCCACGCCTGGGCCCTCCCGTACCTCTTCCCGGGTAGTTCTCTCCACTTGCTGGCTTGTAGAACTCCCTCGGAATCTGGGGCTTCAGTGCTACACTTGGGAAGAGTCCCCATCGTCACTGGACTCCAGCACTAACCTCTGCCATGTGCGCTGTCCCCCAGCATCAAGGGCTTCATACACCTTCGCTGTCACTTTGAATGTCACACTCTCAGATGCCTGGCAAGTCTGCTCATGAGGGTCTCTGCTCCCACATTGGTTTGTTTCCCTCCCGGCACAAATCGCCATGCTGAGCAAAACGTGTCTCTCTGCTTTAATTCCTGACTCTCCCACCAGAGGGGCAGCCCTGAGAGGTGGGGACCGGGCTTCTGTAGTCAGCCGTACCCACCAGTGCCTGGCACCGGCGAATCGGTGGCGAAGGCAGGTGTTCTTGTGTGCATTTTGTAGATGATGCTGTGGCTCAGAGAAGGCAAATGACTTGCCTGGGTCCCATAGGCAGGAAGTGGGAGAGCCAGGACGGTAATAACAGGAAACATGTGCATAGCACTTATTACATGCCAGGCTCTCTGCTAAGCTATTTGCTGTATAATTGTGATCCTCACAAGTCTATAAGGTAGATTCTATTATCGTCCCTACTTTACTGATAAGAAAACAGAGGTACAGAGAGGAAGATGAAGGGCCCCAGTGAATCTGGTACGAAAATCCTTATTTTTAACCATTTACAACCTGGGTGCCAGCTGGGGAACAAACAGTCTACAGCCAGTCCCTTCAGGTGCTTGGGAAAATCAGATTCCAAGTTTCTACCGCTAGAGATGTTGGATGGCACCCAAACCCATCCAGACTGTTCCCCTCTTCCTTATCTCCATATGCTGCCACCCAGGCCACCCCTGCGTATACCAGGACGCCCTCCCTCCTGGGGCCTCACCAGCCAGTGGTGGGGAGATGAGGATGGAGATGCTCTCCAGGACGGTGAAGAGGCCCAGGGCGCTGGAGAACCGATCCATGGGCACAATGTCCATGAGCACCTGGAAGAGGAGGGCGCCAATGCCACTCATGGACACGCTGTACACCAAGCAGTAGACCACCAGCACCCGGAAGTCAGCCGACACTGCACACACCAGGTTGGTGAGGCCGTTGAGCAGGACTGCCAGGCTGAACAGGTACTTCCGGTGGCTAGCAAAGTCCCGGCGGCCTGCCACCAGCCCAGCCATGGGCCGCAGGAAGATGTTGCTAAAGCCAATGATGGAGATGAGCAGGGCTGCCTTGTGCTCATCCACCCCATGCCACATGGCGTACGGCACCAGGAAGACATGAGGCAGCGGGAAGCCCAGGATCATCCACACAACACCCAGTGTGAACACTCGGTAGCCCGCGTTGTACCGCAGGATGTCAAAAGCCAGGTGGCGCTGGATGGTCGCACCACACGCCGCCAGGCAGCCATGTGCGGACGTGTTGGAAGGTGGAGGGGGGCCTTCTCTGGTCGCAGGGGCCGTGCTGGTGGCCACGGGCCTCATGATGGCCCCGCAGACGCAGCAGTGGAGAAAGACTCCGCCAAAGATGAGGAAAGCACCTCTCCAGCCCAGGTTCTCCAGGAGGTAGCGGGAGAGCAGTGGCCAGAGCGTGATGCCCAGGGAGACGCCCACTGAAGCCAGCGCGTTGGCCAGTGCCCGATGGCGAGAGAAGTAGAAGCCCAGCACCGTGATGCTCGACTGGAAGCTGAAGCACATGCCCAGGCCTGCAGGGGGAGAGAGACCAGCTCAAGGGCATTCAGGGGCCTCCCACCGGCTCTCGGAGTGGGGTCCTAGGGTCATGTCTCATGTCTGCCCTCCTTCCGCTCTAGCCCAGACCCACTTCCAGGTCCCCAGCCTGCCTCACCACCTCCTTAGAAGCATCCCACCCCTAAGATCTGCCTTCCCAAGACTGCCCGGGTCATACCTGTTCCCCTTGGCACAGCACCAGGGTGATCTTTAAAAAGCTAAGTTGGGGGGGCGCCTGGGTGGCTTAGTCGGTTAAGCGTCCGACTTTCGCTTAGGTCATGATCTCGCGGTTTGTGGGTTTGAGCCCCGCGTCAGGCTCTGTGCTGACTGCCAGCTCAGAGCCTGGAGCCTGTTTCAGTCTGTGACTCCCTCTCTCTCTGACCCTCCCCTGCTCACTCTCTCTCTCCTAGAAATAAATAAAACATTAAAAAAAAATTAAAAAGCTAAGTTGGGCCTCCTGGGTGGCTCAGTGGGTTAAGCGTCCGACTTCGGCTCAGGTCATGATCTCATGGTTCGTGGGTTCGAGCCCCACGTCGGGTTCTTTGCTGACAGCTCAGAGCCTGGAGTCTGCTTCAGATTCTGTGTCTCCCTCTCTCTCTGACCCTCCCCTGCTCACACTGTCTCTCTCTCTATCAGAAATAAGTAAAACATTTTTTTAAAAATTTAAAAAAAGAGGAAATATAAAAAAAAAAAAAGAACCCTAAATTGGGATAAGTCCCTTCCCCGCTTAACACCGTCCAAAGACTTCCCATCACATCTAGAAAAAAAGAATGCCACAGAATTTACTATGCTCTGGAAAGCTCTGCAAAATCTGGCCCCTGGTCGTCTCGGGCCATTATCCCTGTCACTCACCATGATTGAGCCACATCAGCTTCTTTCTCTTCCTCTGGACACCAAGCTGCCCCCTCCCCCACCGCCAACCACTGGGCATTTGCAGTTGCTGTTCCCACTGCCTAGAATATGCTTCCCCTAGACCTCCCTCTCCTGTCTCCGCTCAGATGCCACAGCCCCGCCCAATCCATGCCTGCCCCGCACAGATGAACATGTTGGAGGGAAAGCTCACAACCACACCATGACCACGGGCCTCGGGCGGGCGCTCAGGCCCTCTGTGATGCCACCGTGCATTTACTCTTCCGCCCTCCTGGAGGATCACCAGTCCTTCTCTGTGCACCCCCACCGTCCCCCATCCTCACTCCCAGCTCACCACCTGCCTTCTACCTGTGACACCGGACCGTCCATACTGCCAGCCGAGACCAATCCTCCACTCAGGCCCGCATCTCGTCTACTCAAAGGTGTATCCCTCCAGCAATTTCCCTCTCCTGCACCAACCGTTTTCTCCTCTTTGCCAGATCATTCTCCTTCATTGTTATTTTCCCCATTAAAACCAAACCAAAACAGAGACCCTGCTTTTGCTCGCTTCTGCTCCCCTGGCCCTCCCTTTGGAAGCTGGTGAGTATCATGAGCCTAGAGTAAATTGTAGGCGGTTCTATCCTGCAGTATAGGTGAGACAGGAGTCAGGGGCTGGCAGAGTCACAGACAAGGGTAAGAAAAGAGGATCTGAGAAGGACTGAAGAGGAAGTGAGACATCACATCAGAGGGAAAAGCAATTCGCTTACGGTCTACGGGTATAGTTAGCGCTGACCCTCCTCACTGTGACCATCATGATGAGTTTTGCCTTATGCCCTGAATCCTGATGTTTTCCCTCAAGTCCATAGGAAGATGCACCTGCTTCCTAAACTTACATGTTCACAATGTACCTTTATTGTAAACCTTTTGGTGTTACATGTTTCTTGTGGGGCTCCTGCTACCAGCTTTTTTTTAAAACTGTGTATTTATTTTGAAAGAGAGAGAGCAGGTAAGAGGTAGAGAGAGGGAGACAGAAGATCCAAAGTGGCCTCCGCACTGACAACAGAGAGCCCAATGTGGGGCTCAAACTCATAAACAGTGAGAACTTGACCTGAGCTGAAGTCGGACACTTAACCAACTGAGCCAACCAGGTGCCTCAACCAGCTTCTAATTGAATGTGGGCTTTGTTTTTGTTTTTGTTTTACTTTAAGTAGGCTCCATGCCCAAAATGGGGCTTGAACTCACGACCCTGAGATCAAGAGTCACATGTTCTACCGACTGAACCACCCAGGTGCCCATTTAATATTATATTTTGACCCAATCTGTAAGATTCTTGTCAACAGGGGAGCTTTATTGTATTGCATGGAACGAAACTCATTATAGACTATGAAGTTAATAAAGCAGTTTAAAAAAGCAAAAAATGGGGGGCACCTGGGTGGCTCAGTCAGTTAAGCATCTGACTTTGGCTTAGGTATGATTGCATGGTTTGAGAGTTCAAACCCCATGTCAGGGTCTGTGCTGACAGCTCGGAACCTAGACCCTGTTTCAGAATCTGTGTGTGTGTGTCTCTCTCTCTGCCCCTCCCCCGCTCATGCCCTGTCTGTCTCAAAAATAAATAAACATTTAAAAATAATAATAAATAAATAAGTAAGTAAGCAAAAGAGGCACCTGTGTGGCTCAGTCAGTTAAGTGTCTGACTCTTGGTTTCGGCTCAGGTCATGATCTCTCTACCCATGAGATTGAATCCAGCGTGGGGCACTGCACTGATGGCTTAAAGCCTGCTTGGGATTTTCTCTCTCCCTCTCTCTCTCTCTCTGCCCCTCCCTCAATTGTGCAAATGTGTGCTCTCTCTCCTCTCTCTCAAAATAAATAAACTTTTACTTATTTATTTTTATTTTTTTAAATGTTTTTATTTTATTTTTGAGAGAGAGATTGTGCAAGTGGGGGAAGGGCAGAGAGAGAGACACACACACACAGAATCCAAAGCAGGCTCCAGACTCTGAGCTATCAGCCCAGAGCCTGACATGGGGCTTGAACCCACAGACCGTGAGATCATGACCTGCGCTGAAGTCAGATGCTTAACCAACTGAGCCACCCAGGCACCCCAAAATAAATAAACTTTAAAACAACAACAACAAAAACTAAACCACGGGCACCTGGATGGCTCAATCTGTTGAGCATCCAACTCTTGATTTCAGCTCAGGTCATGAGATCCAGCCTGTTTGGGCTCTGCACTGAGCCTGGAGCCTGCTTGAGATTCAATCTCTCTATCTCTCTCTCTTCCTCTACCCCTCTCCCCTGCTCATGCGTGCACACATTCTCTCTTGCTCTCTAGAAAAAAAAAAAAAAAAAGGCAAAAACAAAAACCAAAGCAAAACAAAAAAACCTTCTCTCGACCCCAGCCTCTTCTGGATACTGGCCCATTTCTTCACTCCCCTTCACTGCTATTTCCTAGAAATACTGTTTATCTTGGCTGTCTCCAATTCCTGTCTTCCTATTCTCTTTTGAACCTATCCCAATCAGGCTTTCACTCTTAACCTCTGCTCCAGAAGTGCTCTTATCAAGGTCACCAACCTCCACATTGCCAAATCCAAAGATCAAGCCTGGTCCCTTCCATCTGATCCACAGCAGCTCGACACAGCCCTCACTCCCCTCCCCGACCCCGTGCACTTTCTTTGTTTGCTTTATTGAGAGATCCTGTTCTCCTGGGTCTCTGCCTGCCTCTGTCACTTCTTCCCACCCAGACTGCTGGACACTGCAGGGTCCTGGGGCTCAGTGTTCAGGCCTCCTCAGCCACCCCCCCCTTATCCCCTCACAGACAGCGGGATGATACCTCACCTCAAGACCAGAATGCCAGCCATGTCTTGATCCCCAACTGCCCGCTGCAGCTCAGGGCCTGTCCTTGAATGTCAAATTGGATGTGTCCACACCTGAGCTTCGCAACAGCCCACAGACCTGCTCCTCCCCTAGTTTCCCCATTGTAGTTAAAGAGCATTCCGTCCTTCTGGTGGTTTGGGGCAAAAACCTTGGTGTCCCCCTTCTTGGGTCCTAGAAGCTTGGGTTGTCCTTGATTCTCTGCGCCTCACATGCAATCCTGAACCCGACCACTTATTACCTCCATCACACCGCCCTGGTTGAAGGTACAGCCGCTTCCTGTATGTACCTGCTCTGCTCCAACCTGATCCCCCCTCCCCCGCGGCAGCGTATATGCGCTCAACACAGCAGCTGGAGTGGTGCTCTACAAATAGCAGTTGGACGACGTTACTCACCCCTCTGCCTGAACTGAGCCCCCCGACCAGCCGCCACCCCACCTTTTGACCCCTTGCTCATGTCCTTCTACCCTACTGGCTACCTTGCTGCCCACTGAGTACTTCTGGGCCATTGCAGTTGCTTTTGGAATGCTCTTTCCCCAAGAGCGTGGAGGCAGACTCCCTGGCCTCCCCATCAGCTCTCTTCCCAAATGTCACCTTCTCTGAAAGGCTTTCCCTCACTGCCCTGTTGAAAGTAGTAACCTCTCCCACCCTTGCTTTATCTTCCGCATGGCATGTTCTAGATATTTTACCTCTTTGCTTGTTGAATCTCTACCCAACCCCGTCCCGAGCCAGGACACAATCACCTCAGCTGTCCTGTCTTCTCAGGTGCTTGTCACAATCAGCAACAATCCTTCTTATTTATCTGTTCATTATCCTTCTCCCTCGTGTGAATATAAGCAGCCCCAGAAGATCAGGCACACTGCCTGCACTTATGTCTGGCACTTTTTAGGAGGCACCTGGAAATTCTCGAAATGGGAAGACAGTCACCTGTGATGAACCCTGCCGTGAGGTAGAGGTGGCTAAGGGTGCGGCAGAAGGAACTGGCCACCATGCCCAGGCTGGCAAGTGCGCCCCCCAGCATCACGGTCACTCTGCAGCCAAAGCGTTCCACCAGGATGCTGCACAGGGGTCCTGTGGGGAGAAGCAGGGAGGGGCAGGGGTGAGGAGGCAGCCAGCAGGTGGCAGCTGAATGAGGAGGACTGGAGGGAGGCAGAGAGGGGGGTTGGAGGTGTCTCCAGCAGGAACTAGCTAGGTAGCTTAAAGGGCACGGCCCTGTGGCCTATAGCCCTAGATCTTGATTGCCACCCTACCACTGTGCCTCAGTTTCCTCCCCTACAGGAGGTTACACTGGATGACATCTTACCAGCTGTGAGGGGAAGTCCCGCAAGTGTTCAGTCTGACCACAACCAGGATCTCCAGGAGGGACAGACTGAGGCCCTTCACTACACTGACCTGGTAGATGCCCCTCACTGGGGGGAATCCGTGTTGGTGGGTGAGGGTCCCAGGGCATCAAAACCATAGACAGCACGCACAGCCCCTGCCTACCTCCCATTCTCAAGAGGACTGGCCACGGCCCTCCCATCACGCTCCAACACGTCCAGGGTGGGCAGCCTGGGGAACCTGGAGAAAACTGGGGGGGGGGTGCTTTCTTCCCCTACCCCCATCACATCCAGCCAACACAAAGTCTTGCACCCAGATGTCTGGTTTCTGGTGGAGAACGGACTGTTCTCTTCCACCCCACCCCCACCCTGAGCTGCTTTCTCAAGGGCCCAGAACCAGGGCAGAAGTGAGCCAGTCCTGGCCGGCAGCTTCTCCACACCCTGGCAGGGCCTCATTCACCAGGTGCCCTGCCCCCAAGTACACAGAATGGAGTTTCTCCAGAGTTATTCTCCCAGAGTGCAGCCAAAGGGACAAGGAAAGTGCATGTGAGCGCACTTGCGCATGTGTGTATCTGGGGTGGAGACGGGTGTGTGCCAGGAGTATGGAAGGGACAGAGGAAGTGAGCAGCCCATACTCAGAGATCATCAAGCAGAGGCAGCTACAGAGGGAGAGCCAAGACTCTGCAGTGAACATGACCCCTGTCCCACACACCTGCCATCTTCCACACCCCAAACTTTGGCCTGACTTTGGAAAAGCCCTGAGTCATGGAGTTGGGAGTGGGGCCGGGACCTGTACCAGCTGAGGGTGCTGGGAGTCAAGGGGTTTCCTCTGCAGGGGCACTGCTACCCCAGACCCGCTCTGCTACCCTGAGCATGCCCTGTACTCTGTGCTTGCTTGCCTTCTTCATCTCTAAGATGGGTGGGAGCAAGGGGTGCTTGGGATCAAGGACACATTCAAGTTTAAAATGTCTACGATACTCTGAAGAAGTATGGGCGTAAGGTGTGTGTCTTTGAGGCAGACAGGAACCCCAGGCTGGCTGGTGCCAGGGGGCAGTGAGTCTAAAGCTGGTTGGGGAGTGGGGGTCCCCACTGGATGCTGGGTTCCCAGCCCCTGACGCAGACCCTTCTCTGGCAGCGGGGAAGAAACTGCCTGAGGTTCCCCACTTCTGCCCCAACCTTGAAGGTGAAAAGGTCACGTGGTTTGGGCCAGTCCTAGCCTTTCCCGGGGCCCTGAGCCCATGCCCTGGGGCAGCAGGTGCAGGGATCACCTCAACAGGGCATCTATCCCAGTCTGACCTCCTGCCCAATTGGAAGGAAGGACCTGGAATAACAAAAGGAGGCTGCTTGTGCCAGGTGGAGGGAGTGGCAAGAGGCTGGGAGGGAGATGGGGTCAGGTAAGGCAAGCAAACACACCTATGGGGAGAGCCCTGAGGACCATGGGGAGAGCCCTGAGGACCGGGAGATCTGGCTCCAGTTGACCGGCCCCCAGCCTGACCCCTGGAGGAGGTCGCTGTCTATGGAATGTCTGTGACAGAGCCCTCAGGGGCCAGGAGCAAGGCCCTGAGCACAAGTCTCCTGCAGGGAGCCTCACAGGCAGCCCTGGCCTTCCCCCTTCACTGGGGTCAGGGTGGGGGCATCACATTCCTGGAGGAGCCAACCAGGAAATGAGGTGGGGGGGCTGCCTTCCCGCCACCTCCCCAGCTCTTCTGCTTCAGAGTGAGAGATGGGGCTCTTGCCCTCCCCCCATCTTGCCCCTGGTGTGTTCCTCAAGCCTCCTTTCCCACCCTGAAGCCCCTAATGAGGGCCTCCAAATAAGACTTGCGGGGGAGGGGGTGTCATGTGATGTTCCCTATGATCCCATGTAGGATGTGGGAAGGGTGCTGGGCATCACCTCCATATTGCAGAGGAAGAAACTGAGGTTCAGAGAGATTGCCCAAGTGGGTTCTTCCTCAAGTCTTCTGAGTTCCTGAGATTCCTACAGTCTACACTGGTTCCCCAGCCACTGAGAGGATTGGCTTTGTACCTCAGGTGCCCCTAGCCCTCTCCCCTCCCCAGCCCAGCCCTGCCCAGCCCAGCCCTATGGAATTCCGGGGGGGTGGGGTTCGGGCTGGTTCTGCCAAATCAGGTGACATCTTAGGAATTCACTCCAAGGGACAAAGCCTGTGGTCTCAGAGAGAGGGATCCAGGAGGCCAGGGAGATGGTGGCTTCCTCTCTCACCCCATGCTCTTTCTCAACCCTCCCTGGCCCCTCCCCAGGCTGCTCACCCCCAGCATGCAGCATGGCTGTCAGGATGGAGGGGAACCAGGAGGTCTCACTGTTGGTGGCCTGGAACTCATGCTGCAGTTCAGTGAAGAAGATGCCAGTGCATGTGGGGAAGCCCAGGGTGAGCCCCTGGGTCACCAGGGAGGCCAGCAGCACTACCCAGGCCCAGCAGCCCTCCGCACGCTCCAGGCCCTGGGGCATCCTTTGCCACAAATGCTGCTGCCACTGCCTCACCGCCACGGCTGCCACTGCCTGCGCCACCTGCGGAGAGGACAGAATGGAGCTGCCAACCCTCCCGCGGTTCACCCGCCACTTTCCCTGGGTGGCTGAAACCATTCCTTCCTGTGCCCCAGCACTAGGTATCACCAAGTGTACCGCCCCCTAGGGCGTGGCCAGAGGCAAACAGGCTGGCCTTGGCATTTCCTTTCACTCACTTCCCAGAGCCAGCTGGCAGGAGGGGCAGGCAGGTGAGCCAGTAATGCCACAGGGCAGGTGGGTGGAACTCTTTCTGGATACATCATTGGGTGGTCAGCAGGTGGTACTTCCTGGCCCAGTCTTGGGGTCGCCCCCCGCCCACACACAGCAAGCACTCAGTAGTTGCTTGTAGAATGGAACAGACCTCTAGAGCCAGCCTAGTCCCAAGGCCCCTGCAGGCACACACAGATGCGTTTTCAAACATCCATAAGCAGGCTTCCTGCACACACACACAGACTTTCACAACGTCGTCGGGTCCACTGTCACTGCCACTGAGATGGCCCAGGTGACTAAGCCGCTGCCGCGTGTAGTCAAGGAGCGTACACAGAGTCGCTTTTCAAGGGCACCGAACGAGCAGCTATCAGGAAGTGGTGCAGGTCTCATCCCAAGGCCCTTGGCACTTACTCCTTTCACAGGGAGCCCATGACAGAGTCAAGTTCTACAGTGATGCCGAATAAGGATCCACGACCTGCCAGGGCTTCTCTGAGCAACCTCACCCCCACCCCCACACATGCAGATACATACACGGTCACACATGGGCATATGCCAACATACATGCTCACAGACACACACAGACACTCCATAGGCAGAGACACCCAGATCCACACAGGTACACAGACTTACATGCAGACACATGCACACAGACACACGCTCACACAGAAAAATCTAGAGACACACAGGCATACAGGCAGACATGCACAGACATATACAGAGAGACACACATGCAAACACACTCTTGTGCAATTACACACCTACATGGACACAGGCAGACTAGCCCAGAGACAAACAAATGCTACACAGACGCATGCTACGTAGATATACAGGCACACACATGCACACAGGGTCACACACTGTGCAGACGAACACGTACCACCCCGATACCTGGCTCAATCTTATCTCAGTTTCTCACCCAGCCTCCCCCACACCCCCACCGCCCGTCCGGGCAGCCTCTTCCCCCATCACAGAGGCTGCCATAACCAGGCTTCAAAGCCCCCAGGCCTCCTCCTGAAATGCAGAGCGTTCTTCCAGTCCCTTCTGTTCAGGCTCTCCTCCTGCCCCCTGGTTCCCTGTGGCCTTGAGACCTCACCCGCACTCAGAGCTCTGGGCTCTGGCAGCCTTCACCCCAGTGAAGCCAACGGATCCCCTGAGCTCTGGTTCCCACAGTCTTCTTCCTTTTAGCTCCAGGTCCTGGGAAGATCCATGGAAACTCAGGAAACTATCAAAAATATGCAACCCCATCTTCCCAACACGCCCAGCAGTCCACACCTTCCGCCCAGCAGTCCACACCTTCCGCCCCAGGCTCCCCAGGCTCCGGTGCCTTAAAACAGCACTTAAATGGGATCCGCCCTAAACTGCCTCCTTCACACGTTCCAATCTCTCTCTTCTCCAGGCACAAAGCCTGCTCCCTCCCCAGAGGACCCCCCAGGAGCCCTGCCAAGGTGAGTGGTCCATGCGGTCCAGCCTCCGGGTGAGCCCAAGTGAGTGTGCATGTGCACCTCCTGCCATCCTGGCTGCTGCGTGTGATACTGACCCCAGAGATCCCTCAGCCCCAGTCCTCCTGGCCCAGCTCCGGGCTCGGGCAAACCCCAGACACAGTCCCTTCTAGGATTTCTGTTCCCACAGCAAATGGAAAGGCCACCAGCGCCACCTGATCCTGTCTGTGCTGGCCCGAATGTCCCTTCCACACCCTCGCCACAGTTTGCCCCCCCCCCTTCCCCTCTTCCTCCCAGGACGCTCCGCCTTCCTCCACAACCTTCACCTCCTCCTGCCCTTTCCTTCACCACTGCCCTACCCCTGTCCCTTCCGAGCCCTGGGACCCGGCCAGTTCCCCTTCAGAGTAGCACGTTGTCACTGACCCCAAGGTGGCAGGGAGGAGGTGGGTGACAGAGGAGACAGGTAAGCTAGACCCCAGCCCAGCCCCTCCCCGCTTCCCAGTTCTGGCCCCTTCTTGTTCCTGTTTGTCCTGCCCCTCTGCAGTGAGGCCTCTTTAGCCCCCTTCTCAGCAGCCATTTCTCTGGGCAACCCTTTGGGGACTTTGTCCAGGATCCTGACCTTTACTCTGCACCCAGATCCTGTCTGAGTCTTTCAATGGGGCTGACTCTTCCCAGTTTCTCCTTCCTCCAGGCCTCCCAAGAGAGTCAGAGCCCAGGAAACCCTGAGCGCCTCTGCTCTCTTTTTGCCCCCTGGGAGCCCTGCCTCCCAGGTCTGAGGACCCCTGGCCTCCCTCTGGAACTTCCCTTGTAAACTCTGCCTTCCACAAGGGGGCGTCCTCTCTCATACCCCCAGTGGCTTGGTCGATTGGTCCTCCAGGCCCCTCCTCCAGTAAACTGGGCCCTCCTCAAGAACTAAACTGGTGACGGGGCGCCTGGGTGGCTTAGTCGGTTAAGCGTCCGACTTTCGCTTAGGTCATGATCTCACGTGGGTTCGAGCCCCGTGTCGGGCTCTGTGCTGACTGCCAGCTCAGGGCCCGGAGCCTGTTTCGGAGTCTGTGTCTCCCTCTCTCTCTGACCCTCCCCTGCTCATGCTGTCTCTCTCTCTCTCTTGCCTAGAAATAAATAAAACATTTAAAAAAAAAAAAAAAAAAGAACTAAACTGGTGACATCCCAAAATCCTAGCCAGAGAAAATCCTGTTGATCCTTCAAGATTCAGTCCTAAGAGCACTCTTGGGAAGCTCCTCTAGCCCCCCACCCCAGGCTGGGCTAGGCCCCTTCCTCTATTTCTCTCTCTTTTTTTAATGTCTTATTTATTTTTGAGGGGGGGAGGGGCAGGGAGAGAGAGGGAGACACAGAATCCAAAGCAGGCTCCAGGCTCTGAGCTGTCAGCACAGCCTGATACAGGGCTAGAACCCATGAGCAATGAGATCATGACCTGAGCCAAAGTTGAATGCTTAACTGACTGGGCCATCCACGCACCCCTGTTTCCTTTTTCACAAAAGTGTTTTATTTTGGGGGCACCTGGGTGGCTCAGCCTGTTAAGCATCTGACTGTTGGTTTAAGCTCAGGTCATGATCTCGCGGTTCATGAGTTTCAGCCCTGCATTGGGCTCTGTGCTGACAGCTCAGAGTCTAGCCTGCTTGAGATTCCGTGCCTCCTTCTTTCTCTGCCCCTCCTCCGCTCACCCTCTCTCTGTCTCTGTCTCCCTTTTTAAATATATTTTTTAAATGTTTTATTTATTTTTTAGAGAGAGCGAGTGAGAGAAGCAGAGGCAGAGAGAGGGAGAGAAACAGAGAATCCAATCCAAAGCAGTCTCTGCACCAACAGCATAAAACCTGATTTAGAGCTCAAACTCACAAACCGGTGAGATCAGGACCTGAACTGAAGTCAGAGGCTTAGCCTACTATGCCACCCAGGGGCCCTGTTTCTCTCCTTAATAGTACTTTTCACACACTGGAGTGGATTATTCCCTTGTTTATCATTGTCGCCCCTCCTTCCCCCATCTCCCCACTCTATGTGCAGGGATCTCTTCACACACCCCTGCCCAGCCATGGGTGAGCACAAAAGATAATATCAACGTGACCCACCTGTGTTCCCTGGGAGGCAGGCAAGGCCAGGACGAGGGGTAACTTGGCTTCCTGGCAGGCAGGTCCATTCCAGGAGAGTCAAGCAGAGCAGAGAAGAGATGGGGCTGGGTGCTCTGGCTCCGACTCCGCCCCAGCAGGGAAGTGGTTTTTCCTTCGTACTGGGTACCATGAATCATGATCACTGCCTGGCATGTGGATGAGACAAAGAAAGAAATGAGACTAGAGGCACTTCACTCTCACTCCTGGGACTGGAATTGAGCATCTTTCCACAGGTGCTGCCCACCTCGGCCCTCAGGGGCCCCAGCCCAGAGTGAGACTACCTTCACGCCCAAGTGGCAGGAAGCTGGGTTTATGGGGCAGGGCACAAGTTCAAATGGCATTTCTTGTCCTTCACACATTGCACACATGCCTTGGTTTGTTTCTAGGGCTTCCCATCTGATGACAGAGCCCTCCCCAGGCCCTCCGAATCCCTTCTCTGCCCTCCTAAGCTTGCAGGCATGGTCACAGGAGTGAGTCAATGCTCTCTTGCAGGGTTTCGGAGTGCCGGAGGGAATGGCTTCTTTCCCACGGTGTGGGTAAAAGGAAAAACCATCAGCTCCAGGGCAGGCTCCGAAGACCCCTCCCTTCCCAGACCCCATATCAGGCAGGGCCCAGGACCCAGGGTGGCAGCGGTTGGGCTTCCCCTGGGTAGAAGAGCTGCCAGAATCAGCTTCAGCTTGGGACTGACAAGTCTTCAACCTCCTGCACTTAGGAGGGGTTATGGAAGGAACAGGGCGTACCAGATCTCCTAGATCTGGGGCAGGTCACCCTCCTCCTCTCTCTGCCCCAAAACGTTCCCCCACATTCAGGGGCCGGCTGACCGCAGCCTGCATGGGGGATGGGATAGGTGGGCCACAGGGACTTTATGAGCTCTTCCCAGCCTGGCTCCGTCCCTGCCGTCCCGGCCCCGGTTTCCATTCTGCTTTCCCACCCTCCCCAGGGCGGATGTCCTCTGGGTGGGGCTTCTGGGACGCCCAGGCGGCGCCCCCGTGACTTCAGGCCAGGCTTTGCGTGGTGCCGGTGCCTCCCCCAGCCCCCTAGGCCCTGGAGAATGGGAGCGGCTTGGCAGAGCCCCCGCAGGCGTGGGGGTCCCCAGCCATCCCAGGCTGGAGCAGCGCAGGAATGGGACAAGACTTTCCCGGATCCTCAACACAGAGCCCGTCACAAGCGGGAAGGGGCCCGGGAGGCCCACGGCGGAGGCGGGTCTGAGACGGCGCTGGCGAGGACCTCGGCGGGAGGGCATCTCTGGGACAGTAGGGGGGGGGCCCGGGGGGGCCCGCTCACCGGCTCGCGCGGCCCGGCCGAAGAGCGGCTCCACTCCCGCCGCGCGCGGCTTCCTGCGGCCCGGCGGGCGGGCGGTGGAGGAGGCAGAAGCGGACCGGCGGAGAACCGCGCCCTCGAGGGGCGGGCCGCAGGGCGCCGGTGGGCGGGACCACCTCCGAGTCCCAGTCCAGCCGGGAAGGAGGCCGGGCCTGGGGGGGGGGGGGGGGGGGGGCGTGGCTGGGCGTGACCGGGACCTGCACCCCCAACCTCAGCGGGGCCCAGGCCTCCGAGCGGCCTGCACCGTCCAGCAGCCGGGCGGGGCTCGAGACGCCGCCTCCGCGAGGCTGTTAGCATATCATTAGCATTTGATTTGCATAGGCCACAGACTTTTCTGCTCGGGGCTTTTCCCGCTCCCTCTAAGCGCTGGGGCCTCTAGGAATGGGAGGGAGAAAGCGGGCCGTTGAGGAACTTCACCTCCAAGCGGAAGTCGGGTGGGAGGCCGGGGTGGAGAGTTCTTTGGCGGCTCTAGCTCCCCAGGGGTCCTTGCGTTGAAAGCCTGGAGCTTGAGGGCCGCACCCAGGGGAACCCAGGCAGGCATCTGCGGGCGAGCAAAGAGCCCACCCCTCAGGCCTTTGGAGGCAGATCAAAGGACGCCCACCACCTCCGCAGGCGCTGCTGAGAGCTGCGGGCTCTTTTCCATCTTCTTCCCCACTAGCCAGCCCTTAATATGTTTTATTTAAAGCTTATTCCGTTACTACAAAGTTATGGTAATCAAGACAGTGTGGTGCG